AAGGGATATTGTGAGAAACAATTTCAAAGGCCTTTCTAAAATTCAGAAACGATTACATCCACCACCTTTCCTTCATCCACTGAGCAGCTGACTTGACTTGAAGGATATCAAGTTACTAAGAAAGGACTTTCCTTTCGTTAATGACGTTGACTATTCCTGACAATTGTTTTTTTTTTTTTCTTTAAATACCTGTCAATAACACCCAGAACTCTTCTCTAAGACCTTTATAGGGACAGAAGTTAGCCTAAAATGTCTTCTTGGGTCTTCTCTCCTGTCCTTCTAGATTATCAAGCTATGATTTCCTGAATCAACTACCTGACTTACAGTGAAATGCAGGTCAAAGTTTCCATGGAAATGATATGAATGAGATAAAAAATGATACATAACATCAAGTAGATTCTAGATTTGCTGAGTTTTCTATAGAGTTATAAAAATAAAACATTCAAAGCTTAATCAAGGTTTTATTCAGCTTTTTTTATAGAAGCTGACATTTACTGCAAATATTTTGGAGGTATTTCCAGTTCCACTTTGTTTCACATCATGTAATAAAATGTCTCTTAGAATTGGAGAGGGGGGATTTTATACTGCCTTCAGAGCAGGAGGAGGCAAGATTTCAAGTGAACATTGTAGCTAATTAAAGGAAATTTAGATGGCTTATTATTAAAGAGAACATTATTTTTCCTTCCTGATAGAACCTCATTTTCATTTTTAAAGATTAGCAGTCATTAATCTGAAACAAAATGGGAAGAAAGCTGCAAAATTTCATGTGTAGTCTATCTGGTTTCTGTAAGACATGAGTGATGCTTGCAGTACTTTCAAAAAGGGGAGGGCTGTATAATCACTAGTATTACAACTTGTCAAGAACTGTTTCACCCATCAAATGAATTTTTTGAGTCCTCACAATGCCTGTACAGCAGTGAAGTGAACCTCAGTTATTTCAGGGTATCATAGGCTGCATACCTGTTTGTCATTAGAATATAAAAGGAAATGTAGAGGCACTGAGGAAAAAAAGAAAAATAAGCATCTGGCTTCATGTAGGAAAGATAAAATAAGCAGTTTTGTAGCTGCATACTTTATTTGATGAAAGATATTCAGATGGCATTTCCACATTCAGCACAGGTGAAATTTTTAAACCAATGGATAATATATATGTGTGTATTTGTGTTTAAACAGTAGTATGTCAGAGTTATATGTTAAAGTTTTCTATTTCTCAAAGAATAATGTTCATTTTTCAAAATCAGAATGCAAGGAATAACAGTATTTCATTCTGGGTGGATTTTGTGCTCTTTTCTGCTGCTTTTCCATGCCCACTGCTAGATCAATCTGCATATGTATTCAGCTAATGACATTGCCAAATCCACATTCTCAAATACTAACTTAAAGACTGAATGCCATTGTCTATCAATAAACAGCATCAAGGAATGAAATCACGGGAGAGAAAACGGCTGTCCTGCTGAGCTGCTTCAGACCTTCCCTGCCTGCAGAATGTGATGTTTGCAGTGCTGTTCTCTCTACAGCCTTCTTCGCGTGAGGTGAGCAGCTTCACCTCCTGGCTCCTGGGCTCTCTGCTGCCCTGTCTTTCCTCTCTTGACAATCCAATTGCATCTCGCACTATTCTCCTCAGTAACAATTTCTGGCTCGCTTTGCCCACGAGCATCTCAGAATGCGATATCTTCATATATCAGGATGCTGGCCCTCCTTTTACCTGGACCCTGAAATGCTCTCTAGTGGCTGAGTGCTTATCATTGCCGAAAGAGTAAATTACTACAGCTGATGATATGAATCAGTCAACAATTGGGAGGTAAAAAAATAAATAAATGTGTGCACTAGATTTTGTATTTAACACTTGAAATGATCGGTGAAGTTAATTCCATGTACAAAGAAAATAAACCCCAATAACGTAAGCCAATCTAAAATTATAACATCCATTTTATTTAGTCATAAATCCTGGAAGCTATCTAATCCAAACTGTTCGTATAGCTAGTGGAAAATGCCAACACTGTGACAAACGTTTGTTCAGATGAAAATTTTAGTTTGCTTTTTATGCCCATAAGAGACAGCAAGATCTCTGTGATCTAAGTCTCTTTCTATGAATGACTGCACAGTTGTAGTCCACAGCCCAGCAGTGTCTGTGAAACAGACCCAAAAAAAACTGTTTTCATTTAAAATTTTGAGACTAGGAATGCCCTGCAGTTCATGAAAGTGAGAATTGGCAGTAATATAATCAAGGACTCTGAGGACCGTCATAAGATGGAATCTGTCCTTCTGCCTCATGTTTCAGTAGAATGTGCACAAGATCTGCGTTCAGGCCAGTTGATGACTTTCCCATTCTCTTTCACACAGCTTTCTGCACACCTCAGTAACACTGTGTGCCTAAGCATAATGTTGTGTGGCATGTCTGTTAGCTTTATAATCACATTCTGTCCTTTGGTTCTTCAGCTGAACAATAGCTTTACTCCTTTCAGACCGAAATTCATTAGATGTGCCCAGTTCTGACACAGATTTCCTGCAAGCTGGCTTCACAATTCCCCCTGGTCTCGGTTTTACGCATGGAGGAAAGCATCCAATGACTACTAATGGATTTGAAAGTCAATGTTTTACTGTTTTTAACACAGTTTGAGGTAGAAAGAAGTTTTCCATGAGGCATCATTACTATAACAAATCTGAAGTGATCCATCCAGAGACACTATACTCGAGGCATTCCTAGAAGCATTCATTTAAGTGGTAGTGTTTTCTTAGAAGGAAAGGGAAAATTTCAAGACTTCCTCATTATTTCCAGATGTCCCTCAGAATTAATTATTTTGTTTGGTTCCGTGAAACATAGCTAAAAAAGCTGAAATGATCAGACCATTCCATTCTGTCCAGCAGTGGCAAGAGCTCATCTGAAAGGCTGGGCCCAGGCTGGAACATTGTTTTTCTGAGGTTTGCTAACTAGAGAAGGTCCAAAGGAAACAACCTGGACAATCCTGCATCTGTACATACTGTGGGATGAATGGATAGAAAGCAGCTACATGGAGAAGGACTTAGGGCTCCTGAGGGATGAGAACTGGACATGAGCCAGAAGCATGCACTTGCAGCTGAGAAAGATAATCGTATCCTGGGCTGCAGAAGAAGCAGCACGGCCAGTAGGCTGACAGTGATGAATTCTCCCCCTCTCTTCTGCCCTTCTGAAGCTCCACTGGAGTACTGCATTTAGCTCTGGGTCCCTTATTGTAAGGAAGATGTGGTGCTATTGATGATCAGAGAGCTGTTTACTCTCCTATGAGGACATACTGAGAAAGTTGAGGTTGTTCAGGCTGAGTAAAAAAGGTTGCAGGGAAACCTGACAGTGGCCTTCTAATATTTAAAGGGGTCTCGCAGGAGAGATGAGGATAGCCACTTTATTAGGGAGTGTAGTTACAGGACAACAGGTAATGGATTCAAACTGAAAAGAGGTAGATTTAGATTAGATATTAGGAAGAATTTCTTCACTATGTTAATGGTGAGGCATTGGAACACCTTGCCCAGAGAAGTTGTTGATGTCTCATCCCCACAGGTGTTCAAGGTCATGCTAGACGTGGCTTTGGGTAACCTGTTGTAGTAGACTGTGTACCTGCCCATGGCAGGGAGGTTGAACCAGCTGATCTTTAAAGGTCCAACCAAAACCATGCTGTGATTCTGTGCTTCTATGAAGAATGATCAAATGTGTAGGCATCCTGTAGACTGAAGAAATGTAGGTTCCTTAATCTCAGAAAAAGAAGATCAAGATCACATGCAACTGTTTTCATCTATAGAAAAGTAGCTCCAGAAACAAATTGCCCCTTCATTATAAGCCTTGGAGTCAGAACAAAATGTAATGGGCTTAAATTACACTGAAGAAGATTTGGATTTGAAGAAAACATTGCTATCAGGAAGTGTATTTGGATGCTGAAACAGATTTCCTCACGTTGCTCAAGTCCCTCAGGGCACTAGTTATTTACTCCTTCTGGAAGAGGGATGTATTCATCATGATTTGTGTTGTCTTTTCTGTGATCATTATTCTATCTCCTGTTTTCGTCCTGAATCTTCAGTAACTCACAACAACAGCCTCTCCCACCAAAAGAACAGAAGTCTTTCAGAAAATCCTTATATGTGGATACATAGATGCATTTTCAGATTCACGTCTGCAGGAGCAGCAATGGACACTGATGCACACACAGAGAATTTATCAAAGAGCTATCGTGAGATTACTAGCAATCAAATGATCTGTAGAAACAGCGTTTGAAATCAACACAGATGTGGATGATCGTTTTTCTGAGTAAATCTCATAATGTCTGTGTCTTTAAACCAAAGACCACAACCCCAACAAGTAGCCTCAGTGACCAGTGCGCTGGTTTTCCCAGAAGTGTTACAGCTTTTTAGTAACAAGTTTATAGATGCATTTTGTCTCTCCCTTGTCTCCTGCAACCCCATTCCCAATAAATATTTATAAGCAATTTCTTTTATGGAACAGCTGACATTCTGGGGAATTCCTAGTTTCCAGACTTTTTGCTTGATGAGAACAAGAGTGGCTGAAGGAGAGACATCCAGTGCTGCTGAGTTTCGAACACTGATCAGACCTGCAAGTACCAGCTGGAAAGTACCCAGGAACACTCTCCTAGTTTACCCTGTCCAAAGTGTTAAATTACAGCCAATAGAGATAATACAGGTTTTGTCTTAGCTGTGTAACTTTCCTCCACACCAGCAAATAATTTCTCTGAGCTTAATGGTCAACTCGATTGTAGCTTGTAACTTGAGAGTCTCACCAATAGTACACACAGCTGCCATAGAACACCCAAAAAAGTTTCCTTATGTCTTCCAGTTCCTTTTAATAATCTATGTAGTGTAAATACTAAGAACACGATGGAAAGTAAATGTTCAACTGTGGGGATTTTCAACTTTGTAACGAGAACACGAAGTGCGTGAGAATTATTTCTAGTTGGATAATATCTTTGTGCTTTAAAGATTATTTGGACTAGGAATTAAAGCTTTTCATTTTACTTTTCACCTTAGGAAGTGTAATGGCTCAGATTTGGGTGTAAGCAAGATAAATGTCAGTTAAGAATGACAAAGGTGAGAACTTTTGCCTTAGTCTTTGAGAAAGGGATTGAGCTTTCTGCCTTTCAAGTTGTTTATGATAGCCTTAATGCATTCAGATTTGTTTTAACTGGTATTGCTTCTTTTACTTTATTGAAATAATTATCGATAAAGTTATTCTGGAATTTTCTGCTCCCAAATTTAATGTGTATCGAAGCAGCTCTTCAAAGTAGACCTATCATTACTATTGCATCTTTTGTAGAATTATGATCTACTCTCAAATAGATTCAATTTGAATGTGTTTATTCTTAATTTGCAGAATACTGAATTTATGAAGAACAGTTTTGATATTCTGAAGGAACTGGAGGAGTGCCAACATTAATGCTAGTAAGATTTTTTTTTTTTTTTGCTAATTACTATGTTGAACATAGTTAATTTCATACCAGTCATGAGATTTTACAGTAGAGTGTAATATACTGTGAGCCTAAGCTTCCACATTATCTCAAAATCAGTAGTGATAATTGCATTGTATCATCCTACAATAATGACCCAATTAACCTATCATACTCTACTCTAATAGATCCCAGTTTGATGCAGCATCTTTGTCTAGTTTCAAAAAAAGTAGATTGGGTTCACTGTAAGCCCTAAAAAAAGATATTTCCCCTTTTTCCATGCCAGAAACAGCATGAAGTTCTAAAGGAAATTATGTTTTTTCCTACATTCTGGGCTGTCCAAGGAAGAGAACATCTGGGGTATTCTGGAAAAATATAAAAGGTCTGTCTGGGATGAGGATGAAATAATTAAATTGAGAAGACTTGCCAGCAACCTTCCTCGTATCAATCTAAGGCTCATACCAGAAACAAAAATGTTGATATTCTATAGTTTTGACAAAGACAATCTTAATTTTCTGTCCCAGTTCCTCCTCCTGAAACCTGATTTCTGTAGACTCATTTCTTGCCATCTTCCTCTTTTCTAGCAATGTATTTCCCTGTTGTACTTTCTCTTTTTTTAAGTACGTACATCTTAACAGAACTTATACTAATTTGAGGTTCTCACAATCTGCTGGTCCTTAGTGAACCATGAGCAATGTCAATCTCTCAAGGGTGTTCTTTGAAAGCGCTCCCACATTCCAAGGCTAAATGAGAGTTTGTGGAATGCCTCACTTATATAAAATTACCTTAACTTTTCAGTTAGGAACCAGTCCTACAGCCATGTTAGGGCTTATGTAGGTAAAGGAAAAGGAATGACTTTGTAATGTCCTTTTCAATACATAAACATAAAATCAGTGAACAATTCAGTTTGAGAGGAAAAACAGATTTCAATTCATATAGTCCTTTTATAGAGGTGATGTGAAGAGAGAAAGACTGATACAAGCACAGTGGGGATAAGTAGTGGTGATCTCAGTATCCTTCCCATGATTGTCATTTCTTAGCTCAATTCAAGGTTAAACTTAAAGCTATCCTACCTGACACCTTTGAGGAAGAAACTGAAGGAGAAAGTCTTGCTCAACCAGTATGACAAGCACTATGGGGGCATCTGCTATTACAACTATTACAGCTGTTTTATTCATAACCCACACTTCCCTCCATGCAAGGTATGGGTTCAAGAAAAGGCTTCTAAAGCACTTCCTTTTTCTCTCGCAGGGAGCTGCAGGAAGGGATGGTGGGAGGCTGTGAATGAATTTTATGGAAAATGGCTTTTTAGTTGGTTCTTGATATAAATGTGGGTCTCCTGGAGTTATTTGAGGGTGCATTTTCTGTTTCCAAACCTAGAGGAACATAGGAAGACCACAGAAATAGTTGCTATAAAATGGATGAGAAATCATTAGGGAAAGATGGGAGCTTTTTTGTAGGGCAGAATATTAGAAAATAAAAGTGGCATACCGGAAGCATTTTAGGGAAGAATTACCCAGATAAAACAGAAATGAACTGAAAAATAATTAGGAATTAAGGATACCTGAAAATGTGAAAATTACTGCTGTAGTAACAGAAGAGAAGTAAAGAAATATTATAATGTTTAGGGCTTAGCAATACATACTGACTTGAACTGTGGAAAAACGTTTTCTACAAAATAGAGATGGTAAATTTGTTTTGCTTTTCTTTCTTTCTTACCAACCAATATACAAAGTCAAATTTGCAGAGTATAATTGGCAGTTTTCCATTTATGCCAGTTTCTTGTTTCCTTTACATTTCTGTTCCTGGTATCAGCAAAAAGAAGTGTTAATTAACCTTTGCAGCAAAGCAATATAAGCCCATGTTCAGAATTCAAAACGTCTTCTGACAGGAGACTGCAGTCTGCAGTAAATTGTAAGTAATGCTGGCCTGTCAATTAAACAGGACAAGATAGGGAAAAAAGGACAGAAGATCATATTGTATTCTTGAACTGAAAAGAGCAACAAATTGTTCAGTCAGAAATAATTGTCTGCATCACTGACTGCAATTACTTTTAATGGGACTGTGGTAGTATCGGCACACTGTTCTTAGACACTGCTTGTGAGCCAGGGAGATGAAACTGTCCAGGTTTTTGGAAAACATGACTGAAGGAAAGGTGTTTCACAGCAAAACTGGAGCTGATTCAGAATGAAATGCATAGAGTAATGATGTGCTGTAAATTATCTGAAAACAAATACAACAAACTTCTGAAACAAGACAAAATGATTCAGAGTATAACACCAGGCTTGGATAACGCTGTGCGTGCATTGGTCAAATGAAATTAACTTAACTGAAGACATTTCAGTAGAGGTGGTTTTTTTTTGTTGTTTTTGATGTTGTTGTTGTTGTTTTTAAAATTATTTTTGTAATTCTAAACCTTCTTACATTCTTGAAACAGTCAAACCTTCCTAAATGGAAGGAAAGGAGTGCCATGCAAAAGAAGCACTGTGGTTACATGGAAAGGGCAGCTCAAGACTTGTTTCTCACCAGCTTCTGAAGGTGCAAAAGAACACCAAAAACAGGCTCCACAAGTAGTTGTCAGACAAAGAACAGAGGACACAGCAAAGAACGTATGTAGAGGAAGAAGAAAGAAGGACTTTGATGCCCAAAGCATAACTGGTCTTGTTTTTCCAGGTTTTCAATTCGTGTGGAAATCTTTTGATAGGATAGAGGCAAAGGTTAGTTTTTGATAAGGTGGATGAAAGCTGATAAGAGCCTGTATGTTTCTTACCTGTTGTTTACTTAGTAAAAAATGTTTTGTGCTTTTCTCTATTTTTAAGGGAATCAGATTTTCTTTGATTCCTTTTCAGTTTAAATTTTTTCTTGATATCTCATTACATTTTTATGTGTTTTTCATAAGTAGTTAATCTTTGTTTGCTAGTCACTTGCTTCTGTGAACTTTATACCAAGCAGAAAGTGGAAAGAATAATATTTCTAGAAATACAGTTCTGGAATTCAAATGATATCTTCAATATATGAGAACAAGAATGATTGGGGGATGAAAATTTAATTTGTATGGAGTATATACGCATTTAATTTATCGAATGAAATAGACAATAATTAAATTGAACAACAAGCTAGGAAAGATGATTAACACCGCAGGCCTCCTTAGTTTTCTAATTATGAAAGTTTCACATATACAGATAAAAATGTATTCAAAAAACCGCATGTGGAAAAGGGAAAATTGTGGATAATTATCAGTGAATCTTAAAAAATGCCATAATGAGTTTCAGTTTCATTGGATCTATATTTTTTATCTGAGGTATTTTCTAATTTTTATCTACTGAGATCTTAGATGAAGAATCTACTGCTTCTTGTCAAAATCACGTCATGACTGCTAATTAATAATGAAAACTTTTCTTTGTGTCTAGTAGAGAAAATGTTCTTCTGAAGCTGAAAATTATTAGTTTGAGTTCTACAGATGCAAGTTACTTCAAGAAATTAAAAAAATCCCAATTTTCTGACCGCTGGACTCTTGTCTCAAGGGTTTTCTCTACTTACCCTCAAAGTCAATTTCTTCTGCCTTGTACTATAAGAAACATGTTTTGTTCATTAGGAAGGATGCCTGGTTTAAGCACAGTCTACATAATTCACTGAATTTAAGATTTCTGCTGAGAAAAAAAAAAATCCAAGATCCCTTGTACAGTTTGCTTACTGACAATACTTTACATCTCAGTTCTTATTAGAGGTGCAACGGCAAATGTTGTGCCATACGTGAACTACAAATAAATACCTTCTGGCATTCACATGACCACCCCAATATCTTACCTTTCAGTAACAATTTGCTTACACGTTTTGCAGAAGCAAGGAAGCATGAAATGACTTGTCCCTCGTGTTATAGCAATGTCAAGAGAGTTCCCAGCTTGTGCTAGATCTGTGATTTGTATTTCTAATTTAAGCAGCTGAATTCCAACAGCATCAACTCTTCCTCTGAAATAATTTACATTTGTCTGCAAACACTTGTGGTTTTTTCTCACTCTTAATATAAAACTAGACATTCAGCTTAATATGATTTCCAGGTTTTAAGTACTGCTCTGTTTCTCTAGTCATTAGGGTGCTATTTGAATAACACTGTGCAGCAGCTGATGTATGCTTATCTGGGAAAAATAATAATAATAAATTGCTGCACCCTTGCATCTCAAGACGACAAGTTATCCTGGGCTAATCCTTTTAATTACTGATGGCAGGCAGGGGAACTTGCCAGCACCACCTCCTGGTAAGCAGGTACTGCTCAGTAGCACCTGTCCTCCTGCAGCACACTGAAGGAAGGAGGCATCCATCCGTGTCTGAGGAAAGATTAATTGCTACTTTATATTCCTCATAAACTGGCATACTGCCATCTGTTTTCACTACAGTGCGCATACAACAGGAAAGATTATTGCTTCATTTTCAACTTCCTTGCACTGCTGTTTCACAGAGACTCTTGGAACTTTTTGGTAGGGCTTTTATATGGAGGTGTGGAACTGCTCTGCCTTTTAACTTGACTTCTGGACTCACTGCTTTTAGCAGAGCTGATGTGAGCGTGGAATTTTGCTCCAAGAGCAATTCCCTCCTGATTGAGCACCCTGCCCAAAGCCCTCTGGATCCCTTCTGTCTATGATCTGCTATCTCTTTCCCTGCAGTCACAGAATCATATACTAACCTGAGTTGGAAGGGACCCACAGGGATTGAGAAGTCCAAACCCTAACTCCACACAGCACCACCCAAAATTAAACCCTATGTCTGGTTCTCCAAACACTCCTCAAACTCCGGCACTTTGGGCCGTGCCCACTACTCTTTGGGGAAGAATTTTTTCCTAACCCCCAACCTGAGACCTTCCCCAAAACAGCTCCATGCCATTCTTTCAGGTTCTGTCGCTATCACTGGAGAGCAGAGCTCAGAGCTGCCCCTCCGTTCCCCTTGTGAGGAGCTCAGCATCCTCTTCTCTGCAGTGAACAAATTAATTATTTATCTGCA